GTTCAAAATTTTAAGTGATTTGGATTTATATAAAAATAAATAAAAATTCAAATACAAAATGAGGTCGTGACCATTGGATTGGACCCAGATTCAATCTGGGCCGTTGGCTGATACTGTAGCTGTCAGCCAGTGGGCTGATAGGATCTTTTCCATATATATATATATATCTATATATATATATGAAAAAGTTGGGATTAGCCCAATAGCTCATATGAGCCCAACGGCCCAGATTCATATTGAATCTGGCCGATTTGACGGTCACGACCTCATTTCGTGTTTTAATTTTAATTTTTTTCTACAAATTCAAATCGCTTGAAATTTTAATCGTGTATTCTTCTCATCAAGGCGCACTTAATAAAATATAAAAAATTATTCGTTAAAATAAAATGACCAAAATGCCCTCGAAACTTTTTGGGGGTATTTTTGTCAATTTATTTCATGTAAAATATTTTTTTGATATTTTTCGAAGATTCAACTATTTTTTTATGAACACACTCCTAAAATTTCAAGTGATTTGGATTTGTAGAAAAATAAATAAACTTCAAACACTACCGGACATCCGTGATCGTTAGATCGACCAAGATTCAATATGGGCCGTTGAGCTCATATGATCATATGAGCTAGTGGGCTAATCCCAGCTTTTTCCTATATATATATATGATCATAATGGGGTTTTGTGCATTAGCTGATATGCCTCTTCCAATGTAATCTTCTTCAAAAGTCCATGTTAGAGGTGGATTTGGACAAAAATTTACAGCTACACCATAATGAGCACCACAATTATGAATATGAAAAGAAAATTTGATCATCATCATCATCAAAACCTTTTCCCAAATTTTTGGGGTCAGTTACATAAATCCCGATCTGTCATTCTGCTCTATTAAGGGTCATACCCTCAGTGAGGCCATAAGTTCCTATATCTTTTCTCACTACTTCCAACTACGCCCTTTTGGGCCTACCCCTTGCCCATTTTGAGCCTTCCACTTGAACTAACTCACAACTCGTAACAGGTGTTGTACTGGTTTTGCGTTGCACATGGCCAACCACCTAAGTCTACTTTCTCTCATCTTATCGCCTATTGGAGTCTTGCCTAAGTTCTCTCGAATGTTTTCATTTTGAATTCCATCCCTTCTTGTCATGACAATTATTCATCTCAACATCCTCATGTCAGCAACACTCATCCTTTGGGTATGTTATGTCTCGACCACAATTGTCCTATAGAACTTGATCTCATAAAACAAAGTTGATCTCGCAATTGTCCTATAGAACTTCCCCTTCATCTTCGTTGGTATACGGCGATTACATAAAACTCCGGTTGCACATCTCCATTTAGCCCACCTAACTCTAATTCTAAGTGCAACATCTACCTCAATCTCTCCATTTTCTTGGATTATTGACCAAAAATATCGAAAATGCACTCATTTTAGGAAAAGAAAAATTTATTCTAAACCTTAAATACAGGTAAAAGTTCATTTTTGGTCCATTCATTTTAAATACTCACAGATCATCAGATATGCACTATTTTATGAGCTACAAAATCATGATTTGTGCCCCCACATGTTGATCCTAATCAACTCGCCAATTACTGAGTTGCCTCGTTGATTCTTAGGTGGTCAGCCTAAACAATGAAAAAACATGAAAAGATAGGGAAAAAAAAAAGGAAAAAAATCCGTCTAAGACTCAAGAATCATCGAACTCCCTACAATGAACCGAGTGATTTAATACAGTGAAATCTCCTATTTTGGACAACTAGGGCAATTCAACGATTCAAAACGATGCAAGATAAGGGACCCTTTGAGTCATAGCCAACGAGTGATTTTGAGATTAGCTCTCAGGTTTTCATCCATTGATGCAAACCATGACAATGAAACGAAAAGCAAAAATTGTCAATGGGTGGTCTTTAGCAAGAGAATCATAATGGGCTCAAATTTCAAAAACCTTGATCACGCCTTTTTTGTGGAACAAGATCATGCTTCTGTAAGGATCGAGATCACATTTAGTCAAGGATAGAGATATCTTTCAGTCAGGTATCGAGATCCCATGATGGGATGGATCAAGCTCCGCTCAGGCTCCGGCTCCGGCTCTAGAATCTCAAGAGAGATTCCAAGGGGGTTCGCCACCCCAATATCAAGCTGGCCCAATTCATGCTTAGCCATATTCAGCGAGGCCCATGGCTTAGCCATATAACTTCTTTTCTTTTCCTTGGTCTCCTTTGTTTGGGGTTTTTCAGGCATCCATTCATTCTCTAACAGCTTTTCTGGTTGACTACCGATTGTCATTCCCAGGGTCTTGAACACTTCCATAGTCCTGATCGACCTCGTCATCCCGGTACAGCTCATACCAAGCATGATTCTGAAGAGTTGGGAAGTTCAAGTTAGAAGCTTGTGTAGACTCATCTTTTCTCAAGGCTGGGGATCAGGGGTTTCAACAAGGAGCTGCACCACACCCAAAGGCAGCATGTCAAAGAATTTCCAGTCTACAATAATGAATCGTCCACAAATATCACCAATCTCCTTGAAAAGTTCTTGATGCCAAGCGTGTAACGAAGTATCTTTTACTATGATCCAAACCTTCTGAGATTTCTGGGCACCATGGGGAGGGGACCACAGTATGAGATTGACAGAAACTCCTTGAGAATCCAAGCCCATGGTCTAGAGGGCTCGTAGAGTTTCTTGTTGGGAAAGGCAGTAGAAAAGGACCTCCTTCTAACTTCCTGCATTGCAGAGTGTTTCACAAAGATCTCACCAATTCTATAATGCCCTTGAGATTGTCTCGAGGAAGGGTATATTCCCCTAGCAGTGAGGAGCTATGGAGGGAAACCCCCTCAAAAGTGTTATTCTCATCAAGAGAAATATAGGGGAATGAGGAACATGGTCATATGGACTTATGGTAGAAAACTGAAACAAATTAGGATTCTGCTTGCTGGGCATATGAGGATAGATACTGTAACGTATGTAGGGCTAGGTTGATTTTGAAAGTATAGATGTCTTTAATGCTTTTATCCTGGGGTGGAGCGAGGGGCCGTTTTGGTTTTTGGACCTTGGATCTTGGAGATTAAACGGAATCAAGCAAATTGGGTTGCTCTGTTCTGGCTGATTTCTGAAGAGATGCTGCTATTCTGCTCGAGGCCTGTCCTTCAGTACTAAACTGCTCAAGTTTGCTGAATGGGTTCAGGTGACAGGGTGCTTTTTTAGATCAAGAAAGGCAAATTGGGAGTAGGAGCCATGGGGGTTGGGTAGGGGAGGAGAAGATGAGTAAAGGGCAGAAGGATGCTTCTGGTTGGGGGGAAGAACCTAAACAATGTTGCTGGATGGCGAAGTGTGGATGGCCATGGTAAGGCTGACTATGGTGCGAGAGTTTCAAGGGAATACCTCTCAACTGGAGAACACATTCGAGGGGCGCTTGGTTGCATGGTGTCCTTTCATGGAGAATTTCTATAGTGTTGCTGTGTGAGACTCTCATGCTTATAGTAACCGAGGTTTACTGTAGCTGAGGGGAATTAAATGCAGTATGCTAAAGCAAAAGTATGTAGTATATTGTGTATTTGCGAAAAATATTTAGTCATTCCCAGATGTATATAAGCAAATATTCAGTGTGTTCAGGTGTGTTTTATGCTTGTGCACACAGCTGGGCACAGGGGAGCGGGGGGTGATAGAGAAAGAGCCAAGACAGGGCAAGCGTTTAGTCATGAATTTCTTGGCCATTCCTAAAATACAAGAATGGATGTCCATCATATTTATAAAATCATATCTTACAAGCAAAACAAATTGTGCTTTTAAGGGGGATGAAAATTCAAGTGATGGAAACTTATTAACCCAAAAGGTACCTACCTAAAGAAAGTATAGACTCGGCATCCTCAATGAAACAAGAAGCGAAGAAAACAATCACGGAATAGAAGGGCTACTAACAATTGGCAGTGGAATGCTCCAAGAAAGAAATATTTCCACATTCAAACTTCCTAAAAGAAAACATTCATGTTCAGCAAAACTGAAAGTCCACTGGGATATGTGAAATCCACGGCAAGCTGAATGGCTAAAATGGTTCGAGGAAAAATAGGCTTGCATTAGGAACACTAGTTACCCAAAGTCAGTTCCAGAATAACTTATCAAAATAAAGGTGGTTCTTCCTTGCTCTCTTCATAAAATGGTGAAATGCTTACAAGCTAATTTATCGATCATCTCCAGAAGTAGTCATATTCTACCTTTTAGTAAACTAAGATGTTTACACAAGCACGAACTTCCATTTAATAGGAATGACATAAAATGACTCAAGAAATCAATCAAATGTCATTTGAAAAGTAGGCCAGCGGATGAGTTCCATGTATTATGTTAGCATATCCTGAAAAAAGTTACAGCGAAAGTCCCAACCCTTTATGGCTGACCGAAATAAAGTTCAAATAAACAGCACCCATCAATGTTTACTTGGCAAAGAAACAGTCTCTTTGAACATATGCATGGAATGTACATAGATACTAACACAGAATGAATAAATTTAAATTTTTTACCTCCTCTTTTGTGTCATTTGAGGAAGCTGTAGTTGGTGAAAAGTCTTCTAACTCTGCAGCTTTTTCTCTCGCTAAAGCAACAACACTTTCAGGGAAGTTCGCAAATTCAGCAACATGAATTCCAAAACTTTGATCGCACGGCCCTTGATCCACCTAAACTTCCCCAGCATACAGATAAAATATATAGCCATAAGAACTCATTAGGCAAGAGGACTTACATGTGCATGAAAATAGTGCACATTTAAGAAACATGATAATGGCAGCCAATCAATAAGAAGTTCTTTAACTAACTCATGTTGCAGCAACTTCAGCCAAATATAAGGTGAACAAGGAATTGAATTTCTACTTTGACAACTAGTCAACCTTTGTATCTTGGAATTGTCATCTGCAGAGTAAATCCATTAAGATGCCATGACGTCTCTGCTAGGAGTCCTTAGAACAAGTCCTAAGGCTCTTTGTAGTCTACGATTCCTTCATTTATACCACAAAACCATATTTTCATCAATTTTAGCTTCCTTGTAGGTTCTAAGCACCCCAATTTTATAAATTCATTTCTGGATAGTTCCAGAAATTTCAAATTCACGCACTTAGCAACTTAAAGACAAGGTATCATATTTCATTCATCTGTTTATTACATGCTGAATGCATTTATCTTGCAAGTTGAACATAAAGCTGTCTTTTACTTAGTTACAAGACCCTAATAATGTTCCCGCTCCAAAATTAAGTCTTTGTTGCTGAAACCACTGATGAGAAACATCTCCAAAGCCTTTCCCCACCCACTCCCAAAATGATTACCACGAGCTTCTAATGACAAGATTCACTACGATCACTTGAAATAGGAACAAAAAAATGACATGCGGCTGTTGGCATTAGTGGACATACAATGATCGTATGTGCCAGTGGAGACATGTGCTGCATTATTTTCAGTTTGATCTTCCAAGTTCAGCACCATGCTCCACATATGGAGCTTTAAAAATCTTAAATGAGAGCATAAAGTATCCTTCGGCTATATATGTCTTCTACCCAAGGGAGCAACGTTAAATATTGAATCACCCATAACAACCCAAGTACGAGTCTCTAGCATTATTGTTCAAAAAAAAAAAATGAGTTTCTAACATTAATATTAACCTTATCATGTATGCAACTTGATTCACTCATGTGCACCTGCATATTTCAGTAATCAATGAATCATCTCAAAATAGTAATCACTTCTCACTTTTCAGATGTAGAAAAGTATATCCATAAAACAAACTTATGATGGTAAGAAAATTTCAAAACTCGTGAGGAAATAGACATCACAAAAGGACACAAGACTTCAAGAACATGACTAAGTGAAGCAAAATGAGCATACAAACAAAATCCCTAATTTCAAACAGTTACAACATACCTTGTAAAGCATGGTTAACTTGCGACTAGAGGAATCAATGTGTGCACTAACATGAAAGTTTGCCACACCATTAAGAGGCATCCGTCGGTGCTCATGATTATCGATGCCTTCATTAGCTAATGCAGTCAATTCATGAAAATGTGTTGCAAATAAAGTTGGAGCTCTGGTGACCCCTACAAGGTGTTCACAAATTGCCCAAGCCAAACCTAAGTAGCGCAGATAAACTTAGTTATTCACCACAATCTATTACTTGCATTCATAGTGAGAAAAAATAGGACAAATAGGATCAATCAAATAGAACATTCAGGTCATAAAGCAAGGACATCATGCAAAGAGCAAGAGATTCACTAGGGTGTATGAACTAAAAAACGTGATATTCAAACCGATAGATATAGCCTCTGCTTAATGTTGATAGTATACATTTTTTTCTTTTGATAAGGTTCACTTGATAGTATACATTTTGAGAAGAAAGTAATATTCATCCCATTTATTAAGGATAAAATCGCCAGTTCTTTTAGGAAAGAAAACGAGAGCATTTTGCCAAAGAAACGGATGGAAGAAATAGTTATCACGAAGTGGAAATATTCACAGAATCACAATAGATATAGCAGATTTATTTTTTTAGTAATGTTCCAAATGTAACTTGTGCACCTCCTCTGAGTATTTGCATTGGCATTTTTCTTTTCTCAAATAGGCCTCTAAGAGGCTGCACAATGGAGTGAAAGTTCCTAACATCATTTTCGGAATAAGGATACTACACCACCGGGTAACCAAGAGTGTTAATTTTATTGTTTCTTCTTTACTTAATTTTTTTCTTCTTTACTTTATTATTTCTTCTTTACTATGTTTTACTTATATAGTTGTATCATCATCATCGTCAAAGCCTTTTCCTAACTAATTGGGGTTGGCTACACAAATCCCGGTCCGCCTGTTAAGACCCATACCCTCAGTTGTATAGTTGTATAATATTAAATCAAAATTTACAATAATAAGAAGCTGAATGGTGGGCATCATATAGAAGCATGACGCCGAATCTTAAACATCTCGTTTTTTGAAGGTTGAGCCTCACATGCAGTTCATTTCGTTGCGAATGCAATTGGATTGCATTGAGCATGTAAGCTTTTTATTTCTTGGTTTTCAAATATTTAAAATCTAGGTTGTAGAAAAGCAGAAATCTAGTGGCCATTAAGTTAAATAACATATTTTCTACTTTGCTTGTTCCCTTACTTTGTATAGCAGCTCCATACCAAAAAAAGAAAAAAAAAAAAAGAGTTTTTAGCATAAAAAGTTGGATGATCCCGTCTATGTGCGATATAATGAGTACCTTAGGGATAGGTACCTGAAACGTATGAATGTCAACTCAATTCTATTCGATGATCCTGAGAGTAAGGGTACAATTAAGTGGACAACAAATCCATAATCAAAGCGTCTGTTTGAGTGTGAGGACCTTACTTGGTTCAATGTCGAGCAAGCCATGGGTGCTAGAGAAGAAATAAGGCCTAGAATTAGATTCACAAAGGAGGAGAGCTGGGTTTAGTTCCACAACAGTTCCAAAGGGAAATGAGGAGGAAGCTGACTAAGAGGAGACAAAGTAAGAAGTATGCACGGCCAGAGGTGATGATAGTGATGATGTTGCCTCTACATCCTCAGCTTCGGATGTAGGAGATGCACATGCACATGACGAATCATCATATGACTCATCTAATTAAGAGTTTAGAGAGAATTAGGAGACTTGAGAGTGGATTATTTTTCTATTTTTTGTCACAAACCTTTGGTCTTTACCTACAGCTTGGATGCTTATGCAATATGCGCCTCTAATTGTGAACTATGAAGTAATTTTAGTCATGGAATTTTATGTCATGTCCATTTCGTATATTAGGTTTAATTTTATTTTTAGCATATTAGGTTTAATTTTATTTGTTCATCAATTTTAGAGAATAAGATGGAATGGATAATTTCCTTTACATAGTACCTATATTAGACATTTAGACTATTAGAGATTAGAGACAACAAACTATAGTACTCTTTATCAGGCTATCAGGGGACTTAGGCAGCTGATGTTTTCAGATATTTTGAAATCTATGGACCTTGTTGGAGGTGATGCTCCCTCATCAAGCCGCATCACAGCGTCAGACCCCCGACAGCATCTAATTCACATCCCACATTTGAAAACGACCAAAACACACTACCCGTAGCTCTCAAAGTTTGAGGGTTTTAAACCATCAAAGCATCTGGTGCTCGAATAGCTCGAGCTCAACATTGATAGAAGATCCACCTCTTTAAAAAAAAACGCATTAAAACCCACAAAAACATTGGTTTGCATTGTTTCTTGATTAATTTCGTTAATTGTGCATTCTAATGATTTAATCTAGGAACTATAAGTCTAGAAACTCAAAAGTGATGCATGTATGTGTGTGATATGTCAATCAGACCGTGACCGTGTGACTCTGTGTGATGCAATACTGCAGTGTATATTGCATTAATGTATAGTGCATGACACAATGGACTAATAGTCTGATATCTGATTAATGTTTTAGTGATGATGTATATTAATAAATAAGGTACTAAACCCTCTTATTAGATACATTACATTAGGCCTTTTAGAGACATAGACATGTACTAGAGTGAGATATCACATACCGTTCTATTAGATACCGTACTTAAGGGAATCTTGGTTAAGGATACTCTAGAACCCTGAACCATTTGCACTATGGAACACGTTCCATAATGATTTATTACGTTTTTCCGAGTGGTTAGGAGTGTGATTCCCAAAAGGTAGGAATATCAAGTCCTAAGATATGCATTGTAATGAATTGTGCTTCCTATCCTACCAAAGGATCTTATAGCCTCTCTTGATTCCCCGCTTCCAAATTCCTATAACCCTCCCACAGCACTCCTGCTTCCAACTACTCTGGTTAGTTCTCTATGTCTTGAACAATGGGATTCGTAAACACACACAATATGAATGTATGTGTATCAAACCTTAAATAATAAGAACTACAAACCAAACCAAACCACTGAATATCATATTGCAAAAAAAAACCCATTTGGAAAAAGTTATGGAATCCAAATAGGTAGAGATTTGGGATTAATATCATATTAATACAAGAGAGTGGACCCAGAGGCCACATAACCTTCCTTTAATAATATATAAACATTTAGATTCTTATAAAAAAGAATCCATTCCCTCATACAAGAAGGCCTTACCTGTTGAGTTCAGAATATAAGTGTCAAAAAGTATCTTATTTTAGGAACCCTCACTGCAAAAAATACTCATAAAAACTTGACACATTATAAAGGAATCCATAAGTGTCGGTATCAGTGCTGAAAGTATCCCACCATTCCAGACACTCCAACAATTCATCATAAAGAAACCAAAGTTTTGTGGAGAATCGAAGTCAGTGCCTCATTGATACATCCAATACATGGGTAAGGCACAAAAGAATCCATTCCAGATTACATAGCCAAAGTACCAGAATAAACAAGGGCAGCTCATCCAGCATGATCCCAAAATAGACCAGGTACCCAGCTGTACTGGGATTACCACGTGAGCACCCCAAATAAAGTCAATATAGCACGTATAAACTTAGGAAGTTTTCGATACATTAACCCAGATACCAAAGTGTCTAGATATGAACTTAAATGGAGTGCCCTTAAACAGCCTGTCTATCAACACTAATATTTTGAGCAAGAAATTTCAGAAAGATGGATAAGAAGTCACTGGGTATTAGTTTCTTGCAACATGTTCTACAAATCAGACAGGGAAATGAATGAAGAACTCAAAGAGCTAGGCCAGGACATCAACATGTTGAGATGGGATACAAATTAAGGAAACTGAAAATCCCAATCTTAGCAATTTACTACCCCCTTGCACTCAATGCATGCGCACATAAGATATGCGTGATAGAATGCTAACACATTCTTCCTTTGGGTAAACAATACCCAAACCTTCATTTGCTGAAAAAGTCAACCATGACATCAAGTATTACATTGACTAAAGGTCACACACCTGCACAATCTACAGCAACCACTCATTTACTCTAAAAAGAGGAATGAAGCTAGCAGAAAGAAATCTAGAGAATATTAAACAATTATGGTGCTAAAATAAATAAAAATAATATAGATGTAAGAATCTATGCAGTTTAATTAGCTTTAATCAAACATTTGATTGATTCACAACTTCAATGCAATTTAATTATCAAGCCAAATCTAATACAAAGTTAAATCAATGCCACCGCATTAAAATCTGAAAGAATGCCCATGCCCAGCTAAAAGAAGAATCCAAACTGCTGTGAGAAAAAAAAAAAAAAACGTAGCAGCAAGTAGAATCGAAATTTCAAATTTTTTCATTTTTTTTTAACTGTAGATTTTCCATATTTATGACGTGAAAGAAATCCATCTTGTAAAGAATACTGAGCCTTTCTTTTATCCATATTGCAAACACAAAGCTCCAACATATGTTCCCTCCTTCAAACAAAAAGAAAAATAGAAAAGCAACACAACATAATACAATGTCTTGAATAGCACATGAGCAACCATGATAAGAGACAGACCAAATCCATCATATGTAGATGTTCCACGCCCCAGCTCATCAATAATTATCAGTGATTTATTAGTTGCTCCTTTTAATATTGATGCAGTTTCCAGCATTTCCTGCATGAAAGTCGAAACTCCACGCAACTGCAAAACAAACATAAGTCAATGTACTGATAAGGAATTTAACAAGGGCAAGATGCGACTACAAAGAACCATCACTAACAAGCTATGGGGTATGAAAATATCAACTGCTGGAATGATCAGATAACTACTGTAAACATGCTAGTCCATTTCACTAGAAACACTAATGATTCAAGCAATTCAAACTAATTAGAATCAAGATTCAACAAGTAGAACACATAAAATGACTATAGGTCAGAACAACTAGCATTCCATGCATAAATACTTGCATGACAAGCCCGTCTGAAAGGTTGTACACATCATAGTCATAGTTTTAACAGGGTTTAAAATTTCACATGTCCAAAACCACCTTCAACTACTAATAAAAGAATCAAGGTACAGCCATTAAATGAATCAACGTGTAGTAATTGACATTTCGGTGAGGCAAAAATGGAGAAAGCAGTCATATCCATGACACAAGCATTGACCAAGTACTACTCCAGATGGATTTTGAAAAATAATGGAAAAACCGGCAGACGAAGAGAATTACAAATCTGTTCATCCATGTACTAAAAGCAGACTCACTTGGCAATCTCCAGCACCCACACGAGCAAAAATGCAATCACGAACACTAATGCTTGCTCTATCACATGGAATGAAACTTCCAACTTGTGCCATTAGCACATTCACACCAACCTGTGAGTATCAATCACAAAGCAAGATAGTTGAAAGTATATGAGAAACAGAAAGCATTACTGTTGAAACTTCAATAAGATAGTCATGAAAAACAGAAAGAATCAATGAAAGAGAAACTAAAAAAGGCATCATCTTCACCCAGGTCAAAATGAACAAAGTATAACAGCCACACAGAACACTAATGTCAAGAACTTAAAAAATAGTGTTAACATAGAAACTAACCATGTTTATTTACACTCTAATTTAAGCCTCACCTAGCTACAGGTGTGGATATCCACACCCCTCATGCTTATATTTACTTTTTTGGTACTATACCATGTGACATATGTTCTCATTTGAAAATGTCAAGCCAAGTACTTCTATGAGTTGGTTTACTCCACGAGGAAGAGACATCACATTTCCTAGAAAAGTAGAGGTGAGACAAACCATGCTCCAGTGCAACCCATATGTGTTGTATCATTAGGAACTGTGCCTCCTAGGTCACATCTGCATCCTAGGTCACATCTGCATACATGAGTCTACCTAGGACTCATGGTGCACATTTCACTTCTATTCCCTGTGGTTCAAATTAGTGTCTATTCATTAATGGGAATATGCACATCAAAAATGGTATTTTCCATGTCAGAGTTGGTATTCAGGTGTCTGCCACCGTTGAAAATCGAATTATGCCTTCACCATGTTGGTTGTCTATGTTTAGGAAAATTGCTAAATGGATAGAACTTATAATGAGTAACACTGTATAGCGATGCATGTCATAATTACTTATCTAGCCCACAACAATTTTGCAGGACTAAAGCATTTACAGCGCATTTGAATGAGAATTGCGAATCAAGCAATACATAAGTTGCCATAAATTTGTAAACTATTGCCCAGTTTGAGCATATAATCAGGCACATCTCATCGCATGTGCCAATAGATGTCAGAAAATGGAATATAATTATTTCTATCCCATGCAAAACTTATGAACTTGCCAGAAGCAAAACAAACACATAAAGATGGTATGGATAGAATGCAATTATAAAAGGAGAAACATATGGCAGCTCTCACATAAAATACAATATCAGAAAAAATAATTCTTGATGTTCTCTGGAGTCCCACTTTCAAGTGAAAATAAAAATTTGGCTACAAATGCATCAACTTTGAGGAGAGAGTTACTAAGATTGCCTGACTTCATTTGGAAAAGAGAAATGCGTGAAGAAAAAATAAAGAAAAGAATCACTAGAAATAGAAAACAATGGCAGATTGTCAAAATTAGGCATCAAATGAATAACAAAGCTCAAACTACAACTCATAAAAGCTCAAACTCTTTCCAAAAAAAAAGAAAAAAAAGACAAGCTTCATCAAAAAGATTTCCAGAGGTACATTTCTGCAAGTCATGTAATTCTAATAGAAGTACTGTTTAACCTGACGAATGTAAGTAGACTTCCCCCCCATGTTTGGCCCAGTGATAATTTGGAACCAACTTTCCCCCCTCACCTGAAGGCAGAATAAATGCAAATAGGTAAAAGTGAAAGGCAAGTCAGCATCATAGCTCAAAAGGCCATTTGGCATGTGTGTAACCACATTAATACTCTACTTAAAGTACTTGCTGAAATACTTACAAGAGCACAATCATTTGGTATGAAATTAACCCCATCTTGAGCTTCAACACAAGGATGCCTGCACCCTTCCAGTACAATATCCCCTATATCCTATTGACCACCATATGAAACAGATAACCATAAGAGTGACAAACTAACTGCCTCAACATGAGTCTAGGAAATATAATGGCCATCAAGTCAAGTACTTTGATGGCATGTTATATTTTAGGAAAATATTTTCAGCTATCAAATTCTTACTGGGCTAGTAATGCTTGGTCTGACATAAGGTATTGGACAACTAGTAGCAAGATCAGCAAAACTGAGCAAAACATCCAATTCAGAAAGCAGCCCAGCTACATATTCAAACACCTGCATCAATAAATAATTTTCTTGAATGGCAAGTTACAATGACATAAGGTGGTCATGAGAGTTTTCCAAAAAAGAGGCACCACAATTTACCTCAGAGAATGTTGCTGCAGTCTGAACAACTCGACTAACAAGCTCTTTTTGACAACTTGTGTACTCCTCCAGTAAATTTGTGTACTTGTCCCCCAACTTTTTTAACTTTGTGTTTGTAAATTTGACCCCATCCTTGCGAGTCTCAAGAACAACAAAATGTGTGCTGAGCTTTTTTCTAATTTTTGGCTCTTCTTTCTTTGTGATCCTGAACACATGTCCATATTGTGTGCCCTTGTCTAACTTCAGAGCCTTATCAAGAGGAAGATTCAAATCATATGCAGTTTGTTTATGTAACTCATGTATTTGAGCTTCTACTGCATCTCGTTCACTCTTCAGTGCAGCTAAGTTTGAATCATATCCAGCCGCAATCATATATTCACCATTCGCAAGTTGTTCAAGATCAACAGAAACTTCGACAAGGGCTATGAACCTGTTCAGGTGATCATCATCGGTCCAATAATCCAATGGGTCCAAGTACCTCTCTCTGATAAAAGGAGAGAACTCCCCTTCATAACGCTCCATGGCACTTTTGATGTAAGGAAGTCTAATGGTTGACTGGTATGCAAACAGATAATATTCATCAAAGGAGTGGGACATATCAAATCAGATAACAAACAACACATTCATCACTAAATGACACAGGATTCTGAAAATGGAATTACTATCAATGCATTACAGAAAAATCATTCTTGTTCACATTAATTAATTAATTTTCCTTTACTATAATCTGTTTCATAAAAGTCGTAAGAAGCTTTCTTCATTTCTTGAAATTTATAATAAACACCCACTGTTATCCCCAGTGTCACTTTTAACAGTCTGTAAATTAAAAAATAAAATCAAATCAAATTGAAGAAAAGCAATTGTTTCAAATGTGATAAAGATCCATCTAACATCCAATGTCAACAGGGTTTAGGACTATAAGCAACCATATAGCGTATCCAGAAATTTAGTAAAACCAAAAGTATCCACCCATTTAAACAAATCTCAAATCAACATAACAATAAGTTCAAGAAAGGAGAGAACAAAAAGAAGCGACGGAAGATTCAGGAGTAGAACTGGAATGGAATGAAAAAATTTCACTTGCCTGATAAAGTTTCACTACATGCTGCAACGTAGCCCTCCTCTTCTCAAGACTACGCATAAGTCGCTCAATGTCTGAAATCCTTTTCAAATGCTGTCGAAGATCTTGGCGTAGCTCAGTATCCTCCACAAAAGCCTGAACCAAATCCAGTCTACAATTAATTTCGTTCACATCCAACAATGGCTGTTTAAGCCACCTGTTTAGCAATCTCTTACCCATGCCTGCCGTACATGTCCTATTCATCAAACCAAACAAACTAAAATTCTTATTTGCGTCGGTTTTACTCTCGAGAACATTCAATGCCCTCATTGCAGCTGAATCCAACTTCATATAAGCTCCCAGCTTATAATGATGCATAGTATAGCTTGCATAGTTGCTATCATCTGCAAGGAGATCAGTATAAGATAGCAATGCACCTAGGGCACCAGAGGCATATTCAAAACCACCGACCATGTCCCGAACTGGTTCAATAGAACCTTTGACAAGTCGACCAAGGTCTTGTACCAAATCCCTAGATTTGAATTCAGATTTCTTTTTCTCAGTTAAGAGCACACTACATCTGGCAAGGGCATTGTGCAAGACCCTAATCTCAGCAGAATTTTTCTCTATGGGAAGGATGCATTCTTTGCAACCAAGAGCAACCAATGCTGATTCCACGTTTGTGAATTGGGTATCATCCAAAAACTCTGCCATGCCTAGAATTCTCTTGGTTAAATCAACATAAGCCAACCCAACAGTGCATTCATTGTCTCGAAAGCTAGGAAATAGAGCAACAGTCACAGGGGTATCTTGCATCTCATTGTTGGCAAATAGAACATCTTCAAAACTGCCAAGGTTTCCAGGTGTTCCTGTTTTTGAGAGCCTCCAATTTGATCCGCTGCCCTCATAGAGCTCCAATGTGTGGTCGGTCCTTTCAAGAAGTAGGTCACGAGCAATGGTTTCAAACATATTTTTGCTTACACTTACACTTGAAATGGCATCAGGGCCGCTACCCAATTGTCGAAGAGCAGTAGAGGTGTGGTAGTATGTCTTGGCAATGAAATTTGCATTATCTCCATGGGCAGTATAATAGTCCTGTTTCTCATAGTATGAGCAAACAGCCATTTTGAGCAAATAATCATATTAGAACCAAATAAAATGGACATAACAAAATGTGAACTTACTGTGAAGGATGTATTAGCATTTTCTATAACATAGTAATCAATATCTTTAACCGTAAGAATCCAAAAATCCTCTACAATATCACAAACTGTTCAAACTTTCAAACTTACATAACAAAATAACTTGACGTATTGCAAAGTTAGTAGCAAGGAGGAAAAGGGAACTGAAGCTATAAGCATTATATATTTGCAAAACCAATAAATCCTACGTAGAATCAGTCTATTCAGTTTCTAAACTTTGTAATTCCATTCATTGTACTTCTTAAAAAGTTCAAAGAATAACTTCATGCTCATGTAAAGGTGACATTTGCTCACAAAAATTCTAAGTTCCACAATTCATTAATTCCATATGGAGGAGACATTTTTCTCATAGAAACTCCAATACAGTCAAGTAGAAAATCCAAGAAGTCGGGAGGATAGCAGAAATAAGAGTCATATCACCATGCAACAATGATTGTGCTGGAAATGGGGACATCCACAAAGAGTTCTAGGAAACATTTGGCCATTTCTGTTCAAATGAAAACAGAACCAATGAAATAACACAACTTGGAAAAATCAGGCGGCCGTTATGGAGATGGAAAGGTGAATCTAAACCAAACATTAAAGACACAAAATTCAATAGAAATGTGCAAGGTCCGATGTAGACTCCCAAAAACTTCATATGCAGATATTAATCACAAAATGCAAACAATGAACAAAACCAAACAATGCAAAGACCCTGTTTTAATATGCAACACATTCTCCATGGATACATCAAAAACTAAATTCAAGACATCGCTCAGTCTCTCAAGAAATAAATCAAACATTCAGACAATAAACAAAACCAAGTAACAAACGGGGCCCATTTCCTGTAAGAAGAAAGAAGCCCCATTTACTCTCTAATCCATTTTCGACTTGGGGGAAAGAACTAAATGTGAACATATTTCAGAGGAGCTGCAACTCACACGGCGATCAAAGAAGCGTACAGCCTTGGTGTCCTGCAATGCTCGAAGAATAATACTCATGAAGTGAGGCCACAAAGAATCAAAAAACAAAAGTGAAATGAAGGGAGGCGTCGATCTTTTAAAAATAGACGGGCGCGCTCTTACCTGAGGTAGTCTTCTGAAGAAAGACACAAACCCTTGCGCTTGTTTTGCATCTGCAAAATCACTGGGATGGTAAGAAGAGAGAGATTGAGAGAGAGAGAGAGAAGGGGCTTTGGAAAGAGGAAGAGGAGGGATGGAGGGCGCCAGATAGAGAGAGATGTTGGGAGGTTTAGAGGAGAGAGAGAGAGAGAAGAGAGAGAGAGGGATTTGAAAGTCAGACCTAGCTTGAGCTCGGGAAGCTTGTTTTCCAGGGATGCTTCCTCCATTGCAGAGAGAGAGAGTGTGTGTTTGATTATGTGGAGAGAGAGAGTGTGTGTGTGTGTGTGTGTTTGATTATGTGGAGAGAGCGAGAGAAAGAAGCGAGTTTTTACATCTGGAGAAAGGGTAATGGCGGTACGGGGAGTGGCGGGAAATACCGTGAGACGTGCCAAAAACCTGGAATTTTTAAATAAAAAAAAGGAAGGAAAATTTACGCCTGCAAGTTGGATATTTAAACTAAGTGTCTTCTGTTATATTTGGAAAAAGTTTATAGAAGGTTGAGGCTCTAAACAATTAAATTAGGATGAAGTTTCTATTGGGCCTAATGCTTTATCAAAACAAAATGATGCCTCAGTTCAAATTTTCATCCGAAAAGTACTTTCGGTATTAAAAATTTATATGATAGCTAAAATCAATTTTCAACATTGAAAATAAAATTTGAAATTCAAAAAATGGTACAGATTTTGTGGATTAGTGAACATTTATTTTTAAGGTGAAATGGAGGGTCTAGATGATTTATTTAAAGGTTTTTCAACACTTAAATTACAATTTTCAATGAGTTATGAGGTGAGGTTTTACTTATTTTGATAGGTTACAGCCCTTTCAAACTATTTTCCTTTAAATGAAGTCAAAAAGTGTTTTTTGAATATTTAAAGTGGGGCTTTATTTTGTTTTCATAAAGCTTGGGTCCAATAGAAACTTCATCCTTTATAAATATGAACGGTTGCACCAAGTGGCGGTCGGTAGTAGTGTTGCAATGATGGTGATTGCTCTTTTTGTGTGAGCAACTATGTGACACCAAATTATAAATTGATAAAGCAAAAAAAATTCACAAAAAATGGCAACCAAATTTCAATTAAACAAGTGTGATATAAGAACTTACATTAAGGGTTTAGATTTTCTCGAGCTGGATGGGCAGATAAATCTTCTGGTTTTATATCATACTGGGGAAGCCTGACACAATCCAGTTAGCGGTTGAAGGGGTAAGTGATAGAAAATATTTTTAAAGCGTAAGGTTTGTATAGAACCGAAGCTCTAAACAATCAAAGGAAAACCAACCTTCAAATAGTGTCAAGAAATGTAGTTTCAATACTGAAAATATTTGTGATAGTATTAAAATATATTTTTATCTTTAATTGTAAAATTTTAAGTTTAAAAAATAGTGTAGATCAAACAGATATATAAAAACTTGAAAATTGACGTTCCAAAAATGCATTACAATATGCATTATTTCCAAAACTTGAACTCTATTTTTTTCTCATGCCATGCATCTTGATGTCGAGATGGTCAATTTGAGGATATTTGAACATCAAAACAACCTCTTCTAGTTAAAATTTTTAGGACAACTCTAATTTTATTATTTAGAACCTCTGCCCTAATGCTCTATATAATTTTTTTTTCATTTCCAAGAGGCGGAATATGTGTCTGCCTTATTGTTCTTTAAAGAAAATGAAAATTATTTCATGCGATTTGGACCGCATTCCTATAATATGTGGTCCAGAGGTATAAAGCATCCATCTTAAAGATGGATGCAAATAGGTGGTCTACTTAAAAATAATTGTAACAAATGGTCCAAATTATTTTTTAATATAATTATTATTTTTAGTTTTACTTTTGTTTTTCCGTATTCATGATCATGTATTAAATATTATATATTCTCTAAAAATTAGGATCGAATTATTTTAAAAATATATATTTATTGCCAAAATTGCGTTTCTACAGTATGCAAGTTGGCCCCATAGTAACCGCGTGCTAAGGAAAATGAGCCCTAAGAGGGTGCGGCCTAAGCCTATTTTCCCATAACATGCCTATGGAATGTGGGTTTCTCTCTCTTTACCAGTCCTTGTAGGGTATTTGGGGTTTCGAACAAACTAACCTGGGTTAAGGTATGGGCTGGAAAACTACCCTAGGGTTAAAATGTTGGCTACGTCTTTTTTCTCCCTAAGAGGTTCTTACTCTAGGCAGCTCTTTTTCGCTTTAATCCTCTCCATACTCCAAATCTATAACAACATAGTTAAGGCGTTATATAGAGCATAGTCAGCAAGTCGGGACTATCAATAAATCGGCTCATCATAAAATTAGAAATAAACTATTTTACTTTAAAAAGTCAGATGAAAAAATCGGTTAAAAAATACGGATCAACAAAATTACTTCATGTAAAGATATCGTCAATATATCAGACTAGGCTAAAAAAATCGGAGTCAAAATATCGGATAAGTTTAAAAATTATAAATTTTAAAATTCTAAAAAATAAAAATTATGTCAAAAGCTATCAATAACCAATCCATTCATAAAAACCTTCACTAGACTAATATAATTAAGTCAATTAATTTAGATGTCTCATTACTTTTATCCAATAATCCAATATTAAATGGATAATTAACTAGATATATTCAAAATTAACTATCATCCAATCATCCAATAGTAAATACAGAATTAACTATAAATATTCAAAATTAAGCATAAGGCATGGTAGAGTCAAAAGAAAAGTTATGAGTTTGGGAATGTGTAATCCCTAAGTCACGTAGCCATGCATCATCATCATCATCTGGGGAGGTATCCTCATTTATCGCCTATTCAAAAATCACTTATAGCAATGAACTAAGTTGTTCAAAAATTAATTGCATTACAATCATGAATTTCACTTTCGCACGATGCAGCCATCATCTTCCAGTTCACCCTAATGTAAACAACGGCGGTTAATACAGTTGGTGTCAATCTATTCCTTTTTTTTTCTTTTTTTTTTGTTGCTTCAAAAGTACTGTAATTTCGTTCGCACGCTAATGAGCTACATGGTTGGCTCAAAATCTGAATGGCAACCATTCGAACTAGTGGAATGCTTTCTTCACATACTTCCCACCAAACTCCTACATAATGAGGAATTTTTAACCATATCTTTAATATATAATTAAAAGTGAGAAAAAAATTTATTTTCTTAAAATACTGAAAAATAAATAATACAATAAGATACAAAAAAACTAATAATACAATAATATACTTACGAGAATGAGCTGTTGACAATAATCCCAATGCAACACCATCAAATATATTTGAATTCCGCGTATAGTACTTCAACAACTCTGAAAATAATTCATTTTTTTGTTCTGCTTGGATCATTTTATTTGAAATCAAGATAAAGCCAGCATTCACTTCAGGATTATCAAACTTAACAAACCCACTATACATTAAAGTTGAATTAAAAAATGCGGCAGCAACATGAATGGGGTAAATTATATTTCCCTTTTGTCTATTTTCAAACATATTCGACAATTCAAGATATTTTGATTCATTGCCATTACAATTCTTCTTGACTACTTCTCTTGCCCTTTCCATTGCTTCATAAAAATATGTCATGGTTGACTCCTTACTATACACCTAAATGAAGCACCTCGATAATAATGTAATGATTGCATCTATGACATAATTCCAGAATTTGGAGCTTTTAATTATTTATATGATTCTTGTCACATTTTTACTATTGTTATAATTCCTAGCTCTCCACTTAGAGAGATGTAACCATTAATCTCAAAAACCTCTTCTACTTGCGATACAGATTGAACCATCAAAAAGTTGGTGGCAAGTCTAGTTTTACCGTACTTTTTCAATTCCCTTCCATTAGTTTGATTTCTCATTAAATCTAAAATAATGATATGTTGATATGGAAAATCCACTATTAATTGAGCATTCTCAATGACATATTGTACCCAAATAACATTTTTATCAATGTCTTCTAGAAACAAATTGGGTAGTACACATTGTTTTATGAATATGAGGGAATATCGATTCTATTAAATCACAAGCAAGTACATAATTTGATCCATTGTTAGTCACAAGATGAACAATATTTTGTGGTCCTAACTCCTCAATGATTTGAACAATAATCTTTTCAATAAATAATTCAATTATGCTATGCTCATATACCTCAAATGCATTTACAAAAACTGATCCATTTAGATAAGATGCAATAACATTAAGGAATTATTGGTTTTTTTATATCCGATCAGATATCTGACATCAATGTACATCATGATTAAACCCATGACTCTTTTATTGAAGCTACATATGCATTGACATATATCTTAAGTTCTTATACCAATTTAGTACGAACATTAGTAACTTGGCAATGTGGAGAGCTTCGATCAAAGATGTAAGCCCTTCAAAGAAGACCAACTAAAGAGTATTGGCAAAGTAGTAGAAGTTTGTCTACGAGAAGTATTTCATAAATTGCAATTAGAACAAGAGGAAGAAGAATATGAAGAAGTAGGTCTCGATACAAAAGATGATGCCGATGTGCAAGAAATTTCGAATATCAATTGTGAAGAAAATAAATAAATTTTGAAAATCAATTATGAAGAAGAATGTATGTTTGATTTCGTATTCTAAATCATTCAAAATCCAACCGAGTGTATCTGAAGGAGAAATCAAGATCGAGTCTGAAATCACTATGTTCTATCTCGAGATAAGCACGATGCATTTGATGAATCAACTTAACAAAGAAATTGAAATAAAAGTGCCAAGGTGCATGATGGGATTACATCATCAATTAGTAAAGGGTGATTGGCTTCAAACCCGAGGTCGAGCTTTTCTCAATCATGAGATAATGATGCAGACAAAAATTGGAAAAAATTAAAAATTTATTATTTTTGGAGTTTTTTTTTAGTAAGTTCGCAGGTGGGGCATGAGTTTTAGGACTAGGATATGGGCAAAGGGATTTGGGTTTCCAAATTTGATGGATTTGGGAGATATTTTTAGATTTAAAGAAGATTTAGATAAAGATGCATTTATGGGGAACATATTGGGAAAATTTTGATGCATGGGGATTTAGGAAATTAGGGAGAAGAGAGAAAATAGGGGGGAAAGAGAAAATAGGGAGAAAAGATAAAATAGGGGGAAGAGAGGTGGCACGTGAGGTAAATGAGAGAGATAAAGGAAATGTTATCTCCAAGTTAGAGAGAATGGCTTTTTTATTTGTTTATTTTTGAAATCTATTTAAAGGAAATAGGTGCCTCATGATAAGATCTTTTTGGGGTGGATTCCCTTGCAGGCTTTGTTTTTTGGGTGGATTCCCTTGTAGACATCGTTTTTGGGGTAGATTCTCTTGCAGATATTATTTTTTAGGTGGATTCTTTGCCGACTTTTGTTTTTTGGGTGGATTTTCTTGTAGACCTTGAGAGAGTGTA